TTTATCTCATTCTTTTCCCTTCATTTCTCTTGTCCTGGTTGGGCATTCATTGAACTTAAGTTGGATGAAATATGAGACTAAATTGAAGATTTATTAAACAATCAAGGATAAAATTAAACAAAAAGGACAAAAAGTGAGTGATATGTGTAACACTCTTGTTGACGTGTGAGGAAGCCGCCACTTTTAGGAGGCGCATGCAACCTTTTTTCAAGCGCTAATGGAGGCCTTTTTAGTGCTATTGAAATCATCTTAGAAGAGGCTTCCTTTAAAGGCAATGTGTGATTGCGGTGGAGCTTCAATGATCCATTATTCTCTTCTTTATTTTCCTCTATGTTTTCTCTCTTGTCACTTTAGTTTTATGCATGATCTCCTCTTCTTCTTTTTAGGGACGAAAAAATGGCTTTATTATTACTATTATTTTGCCTCATTTTTAATTGTAGTCCCTTCATTTTTAATCCTTTGAAAAATGAAAAATACAAACTATTTTTCTTAAAATTGAACGCCAATCTAATAATATGATTTTTTTAATCTTGTAAGACCCCTATAACTAGTCATCAAAACAAATTATTAAGGTCAATCTCAAATAAAACAAACGAGGAACGATAGAAAAAGGCTAATTGATAAAAATAAAAAGAAAAATAAAATAAACCCACAATGCAATTGGATATAAAATTAACAACAAAGTGTTTAGCTTTTAATGTTTTATTAATTTTTCCCTAATGAAAGATGTAAAGAATAATAAATAAAGTAATTAAAAAATTAATAAAGTATCCATAGTTATGGGGAATTTTAAAGACTCAATCTAATTGGTAGCAATTATTGTCCATTTTTTAAACACTTTTAACGTGTCATCATGAGTGATAAGTATCCTATATTTCTTTCAAAACTTAGAAAATGTAAAATTTCTAAACTATTTTATCTAGAAATTAGAACTTACTACAATATTTTATTCATAAGTTTTGAAAACCTAAGAGAAAACTCTTGGTTATAAAGTTTAGACTTAAGATGAGTAAACGAGGGGGAAAGTTCTCTAGTTAGAAGTCTAAAACTATAAACGATTATTTCTTAGAATATGATTGCGCTTCCTTTTTATAAGAACTTCCACTATTATATGACTTTGTATCATATATGTAATCTAACTTTATAATTACAATTTCATTTAATTATTTTTTCCAAAACTAATCAAAATATTTACACTCAAATCAAGCTGAAATGATGAGTAACACAAAGAGCATTTGAACTTTTTTTTTCATTATAGTTATAAAGAAGGAAATATTTCAAACTTGGAAATTATAGTTTGTTTTAGCTTTTTATTTTTTTAAGCAATAAAAGAATGTATTAAATTATTGAATTAGAAGTTTTAACAATCATATATTGATCTTAAAATAATTAGATTGATATGGTAAAGTTGAAGTCATGTTATCGATCAACCTTTGTCTTTTAGAGTTTTTCATTTCCATGAAGCCCATCAAGCTTAGGGGTAGCTACTACTATAGTGACTTTGAGAAATGGATCACTAACCATCCCTATCTTCTTGTCTAGAAAATGGATGCATCTAGACTTTAGAGTTTTCTAAATTTGGTTTTGGAAGACCACACATTCATTAGTGACGTGCTTCCAATAGTCATGCTATTTATAATATTATTTCTCATTTTTATTAACAGTAAGGGTTATATGATTTCTAAATAGCTTAATTTCCCTTGTACATGTTGAAGATCTCTTTAACTCTTTTAGTATCAAAAGAGTACTCATAATCTTTAACTATTTTGGTAGTGTTTACTTCTTTACTATTAGGTTTAATAACTTTTTAGACTTATTTAATGTTACGATCTCAAACAGTCTTTGTTCCTTGATTTAAGGGAAAGATATGAGTTATTATTGAACCTCCTCAAACTCTTTATTAGAGTTTAAATCAGTTAGTGAATGAAAACTCACAATATTATATGAATAACCAAAAAGAAATGTCCATCTTATTGGATTTTTTTTTTTTTGCTTGTTTTGTAAACATGTTCTCATAACAAGCATTATTATCCATGAGGGTGTACATGTCTAAATAATTAGTTCTCAATATGTCGTATGGTTGTTTCTTTTAGAAGCACTCATAAAAATGAGTTTTTATCTTCTCCAACTATTGATTGAGTTTGATAGTAGGATGGATAACCAATGAAAAACTATTTTAGTCAATAAATAACCAAACATCTTAGCTTTATGAAAGGATTGGTTGCACTATTAACACATTGATCTATGAATTTTATAATATTTTCTTTTGTTAATTGGTTATTCTCTTTAAAAAATTACTTGAAATCAATAATCTTTATTTTTATAGGGATCATGTGTAGTCCTATTTAAGGTATGGATTGATTATAAATAGGTCTTTTTATCCATCATATTTCTATCACCATCTCTCTTAATTGTAAGGCTAGTTCAACTATATTTATCCCTCTTAGTCAATTACAAGAAATTGTTGTACAAAGAAATTGAGGTTCCCTTATCATAACACAGCTTCTAGGGCATAAAATTGCTTAGTAACAAATTATGGCGTGGAATAAAAATTATATAGGGCTAAGTAGTTTGCATATAGTTGTTTATATACTTAATGAGTGGTTAGCATGTTATGAGCTATCACCTCCAAGTAAGGCTATCTTTATTCTTATGTTTGATATGTTGAGAAATACCCTTGTAATAGGCATGCTAATTCTGAACATCCCTACTAAAGATCTATCTTGAGATGTGTACATGTAGGTTTTACTAAGTCTATTCTTATAAATTTTATTCTATATTTGATTCAATTAATCATATATAACTTGTATGGTTCAATTGACCATTTTTGTTATCTTGGTAGGTCATGTTAATCATGTTCTTCATCTCTATTTAGAAAACCCTCTTATTAGTATTAGAGAGATTTATATATTGATAATAAGATGCTCCTTAAAAAATAACCATAATTGATTCACTGAAATTTTTCAAATCTATATGACATCACCTAGCTCGTATAATGGATTTATGTACAACTATTTATAGGGTTTTGATTCATCAATTTGTTTATCTGTGGTTAATGGTGATGACCTCATTATAACCAATAAAAATGTAAGGGACTATAAAGGGCCACTAAAAATAAGTTTGAATAATAAAAACTCATCTCTAAAAGTGCTTAACATCGTTTGAACACTAAAATATAAGGGTGGTGGACTTTCAAGCTCTTCACAACCAAGAAAATGGCATTCCTTTATTTTTTATACATACTGTTCATCTAGTTTAGCAAGGATAAGTCCACTTGTATTTTTTCTTGGAGGCATATTTTAATTGCTTATAGAACAAATTTTGAATTTTTTTCCCATTAGGTGCAACCGATTTATTATGTTACCAATTAATTTTACTTAGGATTAAAACTGCGACGAGATGACAACTTCCTCTAATAAAATAAAATAAGGATTTTTGATCTCAAAGCCTTAATAAAAGTAATTTGTTGTAAAAAACCTATCGTGTAAGAAAATACATGAGTTTTAAAAGAGATAGAGTTTGCAAGAAACTTAAGTATATAAAATAAATAAAGCAATAAATAAACCAGTAAAAGAAATAAAACCCTTCGAGGGGAAAATAATGTGGATTGCATGAATTTGAATATATGGGGTTGACCATCATTTATATAGTATGTTGATATTTATACTATTATAGAGTTTAAATCTTACTTACATATATAATTCTAATCCTATATAGATATTCATATTAGATAAAAAAAACTCATTCAATTTTAATACAAGTTAAATTTATCTTCTAGTTAGTTATTATATTGAGAATTTCTGTTCATAATAAAACTATATCTATTTAGTTTAGTGTGCATTCAAACTTTGTTAATTAATCAGTTTTTTTTTTTATTACGACTTTTGATTGCTTGGTCAATTCTTCTAGTCAAACATGAATTCTTCTTCATGATCGATTCTTTTGATTTATAATCAATTTTAACTATCTTTCCTCTCTTTATGGTGAATGATCATTATCTTTTACCTTAGATACATGTATTTTAGGTATAAATAGCAAGGTACCAAAACTTTTAGAAGGGAAAGACCTTAAGCCAATTAAGCTTTGGACATAAGTCATGCATACATGTTCTCAACTCGTGCTCAAGGTTGGGTACACGTTTAATATAAAATAAGCTTTCGATAAAAAATATTATTTTTAAGGTAATTCATAAATAAATTGTCTAACTAATAACTTTTATTTGCCTAAGCATTTTATTTTTAAAGGGAAAATGTGTGTTTTTTAGGGAAAATGTATATTAGATTTTATTGCATTTCATGGCATAATTAATGTAATAGATGAAAAGAATTAATTATGTTCTAAATTAATTTTGGTTAAAAGATCTAGTTAAAAGGGGGTTAAATGAAAGGTATTCTAGACTGCAAGAAGTAGCTCATTTACCTTCTTTTCATTTATATTTCCTGCCTTTTCTAGTACGTTTTCTTCTATTTTTGAGCTTAAATTTTGGTATTTAGTGGAGACATTTTGAATGTTTTTTTTAACTTTTTCACATTCATTGTACAACTAATCAAAAGGTGTTGGTGCTATATTTATACCAAATGACGAACAAAAGTTTCAAGAACAAGTGATATAATCCTAATGTGATATGCATTTCTTTATATACATTTTAAATATTTCAACAAGTAATTATACTAAGTTTTAGTATACATTTTATTTCTAAAATAAATCATAATAATTACTGGTATAGTTATTTTCTCTTTAAGCTATTATACAACGTTAAGTTTACAAGATTAACGAAGTAAGAGTTTTAGTTCTATGTTCATTTGAGTAAAACTAAACATTATCTTACACAATCATCTCACGAAAAAGACTCTGCTTGGTCTGTCCTGCTGGAATCTCGATCATTCATAGTGTTAAACCAGATATGGCGTGGTTCCTTTTCCAGCTTATCAGTTCTTCACTTCCTCTGTTTCGATGCCATCATTATAGAAGGAGGCAGCAATCATCGCAAGCTCTGATTTCCAAAAATCTTGAATTATTCATTACGAAAACACAAAAAACTCACTGCTGGGTGGAAATCACTCATCCAGGAGGTAAACTCCACACCTTTTCACCTTGCAACGATTCTGAATCCCTGACGGCTCATCCAGGTAAAATTCAAATGAAATTTCTTTTCCAGAATATTGGCTGATGCAATCTCGTTTTACGAACTCGCAGGGATTGTACAAGAGTAACATTTGATCTGACTCAACTGTTCGGAGTTCATAAGCACAAGTACTCAAATTGAAAATGACATCATGATATTCATCATTTTCACCTCTAGCATGGCATTCACATATAAATATCCTGTTGCATTGCAATTCTGTTGGAGGATCTGGGAATACAAATACCATGCCGAAGGCAAAACCATTGTGTTGATGACAATTTGTGGGCAACTTTATGGCCACCGAAGATCCCATACTTTGATCACAGAACCATCCTGGAATTTCACTCCCTGGTAAAATAATCGTGACTTCGCGTCTCATCTTTCCAGACTGTAACACAGAAATCAGAAGTCACCTTTTATGTGTATGTATATATATATATATATATATAAAGAGAGAGAGGGGGAGGG